GTCCTTTTCATTAAATTCACACCATCTACAGAAGAAAATGCAACAGTTTGAGATATCCATACCAGACTGTCTCCATGAACCATGGGTAAAGGGTCTTGTAGTCATTCTTGAAGTCGATCCACCGGCCCATTCTTCTCACTGTGGCCTGATGGAAAAAATGTTAATAATTTGCCATGTAATAGATGTAAGCATATTGATTATAGACTGGACAAAATGTAAATATTTATTGCACACACCTCCCATTCATTAGAGTATCTCATGACAATATTTCGGCACTGCTTGTTGTACTCAGCAATGCCCATCTTGGCCACGTCTTCAGGTCCTTTAATCCCCAAAGTTTTATCAATTTCATACTCCTGTAATGACCAATGAGAAAAATGTAATCACATAGAACAATACTTTTCTAATATTCTGAGAAACTGGAGGGCAAAGTCTCACCACAGGCAGGCCGTGACAGTCCCAGCCAAAGCGCCGGTCCACATGGAAGCCACTCTGGTGGGCAAAGCGGGTAACGATGTCCTTGATGGTGCCAGCTAGGATGTGACCGTAATGCGGCAGACCCGTGGCAAAGGGAGGGCCATCGTAAAAGGTGTACCTGGTGAGGTATTAGTAATATCATGGATTTCACTTAGCAATAAAACAAAGAAGTGAAAAAAAATGAGGTCCCACATAGTAATGTGAAGAGTGCTGATAAGAAAGACTTTGCAGTTGAACATGTTTTCAATGTTTTCACACAAATACTAATAAATTTTGGAATTTTAATATACTTTATAACCAAGGATTTAAAATAATTATGTTTTTACCAATGAGTCACTATGGTTTCATCTGCATCATCTATGAGTCACGTAGTCTCCCTGAAACCTGGAATAATTTGTCACCGAGTAATTGCCACCCTAACTTAGTTAAATTATAATTTTACCTTTGTCACTGAAAGAACAATCTATTTAATGTTGGGTCAATGTTTAACTTGCTTTCTCACTTTCAAAAGCACAAGCCATCCTTTCATGGAATGGATTTTTATAGAGAAAAACTGATGAATGTTCAGACATATATAAAAACTGAAATATATATAAAATATATTAGAGCTTACTGTAATTCCGAAAATCTTAAATCTTTGGACAAAATAAGTCAAATGATTCTGAATTAAATCACCCATGTCATCATAAGGAGTCCCACCTGGGTCGGTTCTTGGACTGTTTGAGGCATTCCTGGAAACAGTCCCTTTCTTGCCAAAACTGCAAAATCTTCTCCTCCTCAGAGGGAAAATTGATGGATTCGGGAACTGGCTCCACCATGGTGTCTGTTTATACACAAACAGAAAAACAGTTCAGTAATATATTAGAAATTTATATTTTTTACTTTTGTTTTTCAGTTAACTTCAGATAATACAGCCACATGTGTTTCAGGTCTTTCTCTTGACAAGCAATGATCAGTAGAGTCTTTGGCGTAAAAATGGTTCAAAAACTTTTCACAAATGTTCAAATGGCTCAGAGTTGGAGCCACTGGAACATTTAACTGCCTTAGCAACCGCTGCTAGGTAACCACTATTGCATAGTAACCGACTGCTGAAAATAGAACACTGAAATTTGCAACAAAAAATATTAAGACTTTAAATGAAAAGTCATTGTAAGTGAAATTGATATTGAACTAATACATTTAGCAAAGGAATCACCCAAGTGATGTTTGTACACCAATCACTCATTTTCAGAGAAAATGGAAGGAGGAAGAATATTTATTTTTTTCAGTGACCGCATTGTTTATTGTGGGATGTTCTATTTTAACTGCAGTTTACTTTGAAAGCACCATCGGCAATTGCTGTCAACATTTGCAAGTAGCTCCTTCCAGCTGTGCTGTGTCACTACTATATTTTCAATGGAAATTCATCCAATCTTTGCCATCTATTTTGTCATCAAGTTTTTTTGTTTTTTTTTTAAACAATAAGTCTTAGCACCGAAGACTTAAAAACTTCTGTACTGAAAGCCTAAATTATATCAAATAATAATTTGCCTCTTTTTATCTTGTATGCATGTTGTTGGTGGTGAACTGATAGAACTGGTAATGGAAATTCACTGGACAAAATGTCTTTAGACACAAAGGAATTTGTGAATCATCCGATGCGTTGCCAATGAAAACAGACGTCTCATGCTCATGCTCATGGAGGTGACAATGAAGCAAACAAAATGCAAAGTGGCGTTAAGTCCCGTAATCATAAGTACAACAAAACTCCACTGTGATAAAGAAGAAATTAGGAAGTGTGCAGACAAGGACAAATTAAGTTCTGTACAAAATTTGATGTTTTGAAATGTTTAGTACTTTACTGAATATCAACTGAACAATGAGGACAGAAAAAGAATGATCAAATTAGTATTTAGTTGTGAATGCATAAAGACAGCATATAAACATAGATAATTGTAAGAAGTTGTTGTGAGGGTCACAAGGGTGTTAAATTGAAACTTAATAAAAGATTGGAAATAACTACTTAGGTTGGTTCTTCATAAGTAAAAATTCTATGTTTTTATTATTTTCTTTATCTCTGCCAATAAAAAACTACCAATAAAATTATTGGTACCCTATAAAGAACTTTTGTGCAAAGTGTAATGCTTGTATCACCTTCCCGAGCAATTCTAGCCATATTTTACACCAATCGCCCAGACAAACTTTGATTTACACCTATGATTCCCTTAGTTAATACCAAGCTAAAAGGCTTTTAAACAGAACTCAAATTCAAAGTTCTAACAAGAAGACCAACATTTATATCTATAAATAAATCACAAAACCAGTGTCCAAACAGGTTAGGTTAGCTGGTTCACACGAATGACACATCCTTGTTGTCAGCTAGCAGGCTAATCCCGCAAGTAGACGCTCAGTTGCTCAGTTTATTGTTAAAGTAACAATAAACTTTGTTAAATGTTGCTCTTAAATGCTCGTATTTCCCTTAAAAGTATGATTAAATACAGCGTTCTAAGAAACTTTAATTACTTCAAAAGTAGGAACTCACATGCACTGCAACCGGCTGCCGAGACACGAGAAATGATGCAAGCTGGAGTCAGAGCATGGACGGACGTGACGACACGAGATCCGATTTGCTGCTTCAAAATAAAAGATTCGTTTATGTTTGTAGCACCACCAAACTAAGAGTGACATTAACAATCAGAGGCGGTTTGCACTTGAATAGTGTTTTTGGGAAGAAATAACAGCAATTAACAAGTTAAAACATAAGTTGGGTTATCGATCCAATGTAAATGCAATACAGCTTAAAGAGATGGTGAAAGTATTTTTCCTCGGATAAGAAAACAAGCACAAAAATGTGCTGACAAATTAATTATTTTAGTGATTATCTGGGATAAGTGAAATTGTAAAAACTAACATGGATAGTGTACTGATAGACATATTTCTAATAGATGAGAATAACACACGGACATTTGTTAAAATTTAAGTGACATTATTGCTGACTATGTAGAGATGGCCGTTTCATCTTCTCTTTGGTTTTCACATTCAGGTTTACCCAATGTTTTACAGAACTCCAGGACTGCTGTACATAGACCCCAGTGTTTGTAAAACTGTGAGATCAAGTGAGCTTTTTCCATTGGGTAGCTCAATTATGTATTGAAGATAGAGTGGCAAACTCCATCATTCAGAGGAAGCTTTAAGTGAAGCTGTAGCTCCTACACATCTAAGGGTGTCACAGTGAAGGTAGTTTGAGCATCTGAGGATCTGAGACTGACACCATTGGGTCCTCCATATTGAACTGGAGTGTGTCACTGTGGGGGGATAATTTGGTTTCACCTGATTCATTTGCATCCTTGAATCAATATTTAAGCAGGAGAAATAATGTGTATCCTAAATATATACTGCTCAAAAAAATGAAGGGAACATTTCACTTTAATTTTGTGTGTGGCTCCAAATCCAGGCCTCCATTGGTTAATAAATTTGATTTCCATTGATGATTTTTGTGTGATTTTGTTGTCAGCACATTCAACTTTGTACGGAACAAAGTATTCAATGAGAATATTTCATTCATTCAGATCTAGGATGTGTTATTTGAGTGTTCCCTTTATTTTTTTGAGCAGTGTATATATATATATATATATATATATATATATATATATATATATATATATATATATATATATATCATATATAAATTCACTGTATGTATTTTTTTAGTACGAGTACTTAAGTCATTTTTTTTTTATTTTTTATCATATATTTACTAGAAAGATTACAGCATAACACGAATCTGCATTAAATGTACAAAGTTCAACCTAAAGATCATTCTGCAAGAATTGAGCTTTTGTTTATATTTACTGTTGCAATCTGCTTAAAACCAGTGTTGCAGAATGTGATACAGAAAGTTTTCTTCTTAGATTTAAGTCTAACTTTTACTATTAAAGATTTATCCTCTATATTAAAAGCTTCCCTATTTCAAATGTTTTCAATGTTTTTTTGGGGCATCTCCAGGTTGTACAACATATTCCATTACAGCTACATTATTGGATAAATCCCATGATGTCTTTATACTTCTGAATAAATAATTTATCTGAGAACTGAACTGAGAAACTTACAGGTTCATTTGCATAATTTAAGCAACTTTTTTCACAAGATCCTCAATTCTGACTTGCTTACATTAAGTGAAAATGGCTGTGACCATCATGCATTAGTAGAGGTTTCCAATTGAAACAGCATATTGTCAGACCTTCAATTTAAGAGTTTTCACAAAAAAAAGCACATAAATGATCTTATATGTACATTTAGAACAATTCAGCTGAAATGTGTGTTCTTAGGTCACTGAGGAACGATGCAGTTTAACAGATTTTTTTTTTTATGTAACCCCAGTAGAAAGCCTTTTCCACAAAGAATGCTACAGAGTGCTAAGAGGTTTTTCAGTCAGACTCGGTCTCCTTTTCCGTTGCAGCTCACAACCATTATTTACTAACTGGTTCAACGAAAAGGGTGCAGTGGACAAAAAAACAAAACAAAAAAAAAACATGTATGAACACTTCCAGAAGAGAAAGCTCATTCTCGATTTATTTCAACTTCCAAACTTTTCCAAAATTTGGTGTGGAAGCAAAAAGCCACAGTGCTGGCTTAAAATAAATCCTTTTCTGGATAATCAACACATACAAAGTATAAAACAAAATGGTTTTGTTAATAAAGCATTACTTTATTATGTTGGTGTATGTGGAACAATAACAGACAGAAGTTAAGCAGACAGCTTATTTCTGAGCTGCTGCTTTCCGTGCCGCCTTCAAGCCCTTCTTGTTATGCTTCTTGGCAAAACGCATATTCCTCATGAATTTGGGATCCACCTGCAAACAGGAAGGTTCATAGAATGAGTGAGCTGTTGCACTAAACAGTCTAGCATAAACCATTAAAACATCCAGGGGAAACAGATTTTGCTCATGAAAGTAAATCATGTAAAGCAGTTTAGATTCAAGTAAAAATATGGTGCAAAAATTCTGAGCACAAATACAGGATACTACACCAGCTTCACCAGAAATGCACAAAATAAACATGCAATACAAAAAGTTTATTAATCTAAAATCATCTTTTGCGGTTTAACATCTTTTCACCTACAGAACTGGAAGTGTTTGAAGCTACAGCACATTCTCCTAATGCAGTTTTTCAAAACTCCACTTGACAACATTTGTGCAAATATTTAGCTAAAAACATTTAGACCAGCATGATACTAGAAAATGTATTGCAATATAACTGCCCCTTACAAAATAAACAATGTCATAATCAAGAAGTCAACTTTATCAGATAGAGGTTCTCAGTTAAAAAAAAATGTTTTGAATAGTTGTAGGCATCAGATGAAATGGTATTAAACTCATCAAAAACAATCCTGTAAACAGCATTCTTTAATCTTTCAACATTTTAAAGATTTTAAATTAAAGCGATGGTCTATTATCACAACATGCTTGTTCAAGAGGGGATGCTGCATCAGTGCAATATGCTGGGTTCACTTATAAAATTTGAACCAGTTTGAACCATTTCTCCTTCTAGACGATACACTTGACCATCTCTCTCCGTCTCCTAGACACAGCTATTGGCTGAGATTTTCGCTGCAAATTTTTCATCCTGTGGCCGTTTAAACCAGCTCAGAGTTCATCTGTTACGTTTCTCTCTCCTAGATGAAGCCACAGAAGTACTAACAGACAGCGTACTCAAATCCCTAGTCAGTCACAGCAGACGGCTGGTTGTAATGAACTAGGTTCTGCTTAAGGTTTCATTTTGTTAGGAGTTTTCCTCTGCACTGTCACTTGCATGCATGTTCAATGTGAGGGATTGCTGCAAAGTCAACAACACAATGCAAGTGATTCTCAACTATCACTACATGCTCATCCTGGAGGAGGGAATGCTCCAAGTCAGTGACTCAATGTGATCTGCTTAGAAATGGGGTTTTTTCCCTGCCAATTAGAATAATAAATTGAACTTGACTGTAATGTTCAAAAACTGCAAATAAATTTGTAATGTATGTAGCCAATTGAATTGTTGGTGTATGTCAATTCAGAGACACTAATTAGGTATCATTAAAAAGTTTATCTTCTTCCAGGTGAAACATGGTTTCCTTTTTTTTTAACAAAACATATACTTGGACAGAGATGACACAGAGACAAATTTGAGGTCTTGGATATGTGGAAGCAACTTCCAAACCAAGGGGATAATGCACAAAGACGGACAGTACAATTATTTAGCTATTAAAAGTTTGTGTAAGAACACTGCATTTCTCAAAGCACCGCTGTAACACAGAGCAGAGTTGGTGAACATACATACCCCCTTCAAGGACTCATAGCGATTAGATCTGGGCTTCTTAATGCCATTTCTGTGCCATTTGCGAGCTGTTGAAACAGGACAGTCATTCGTTTTTACACCGCTCTTTGCACAAAGCTAGAGGAATATAAACGAGTAAATTCAGATGCAATCACTTACACTGGTTGTGAGTTGTGTGGTTCTTAGACTTTGCCATTTCAACGCTGGTAAATCTGTAGAACGGACAAGAGAAAAACAGAACCAGCGCATCATTAGCCACGAAAAGCGATGCTAGCGTCCGTTGCTATTAAACGTTCATTTAGTTCGGCTTGTTAGCCACCAATAAACCTGTTTTATTCTAAAAAAAAAAAAATAAAAAAATGCATAAATAGACTGAACGCAGGAGGAAAATATAGTCAATTAAATCACAAACTAGTTGGTATTATATCGGTAGCTGTCGGTAGCTACACAGATGTTAGCCCAAATCAGATGTTTTATTTGTCTCTTTTTAAGGGTCGAATCCGATCCATACTGTGAAGACTAGATTATTAACTAGAAACGTTATCAATGTCCGCGGATGTTTGGTGAACAGTATATAAAGCAAAAGCAGATGGATGAAGATTATAATAAGCTCAAAGCACCGGGATAAATAAATACCTGCCACACGAACAGACGACAACCGGAAGAGAAAGAAAGTTCGCTGCGGCAAAGAGAAGAAGACTTGAATCAAGAGCGGAGGTGTGTCGAAAAGAGTCGCATGTTTTTGCACACTGCCACCTGTTGGTGGGTTAAAGTATAACAAAGAGCTCACACAGGACCGCCAGGTGTCGCTCCAATCCACGATAAAAAATAGAGCCACATCAACTTTATGTTAAGCAAAGCGTGGCTCCGTTTGCCTGAAAGATCACAATGTTCTTTTCCTCTTTATTTGCTACTTAGATGTCATTAATGTGCGATTTGTGAGTACAGTCTGACTAAGCTGTTTCTCTACATACCCCTTTTGATTCATAATTAGAATAATAACAGAAAGATGAAATTGCATTAAATTACAGTATATGACATTAGCGTTGGTCCACTGAACAACATAGTAATTGTTGTTAACCATTTCTTTCGGATCACATTTGCATTTTTAATTAAAAATAAAGATAATAATTCAGTATTATTAGCAGATTGTGCTTGTGCTCTTTTATTTACTTAAAGATTAGATGTTGGCCTTCAGACCAAATCAATTTATTGTAATTTAACTGTTAGCAAACAGAGAACTCATTTTCTAATGGTAACGCAACAGATTGGTACATTTAATTGATCAAATATGAACTAGAGCTGTACAGTAGAGCAGTAGCACCGTTGCATTGTAATAAAGAGCCCCTGTGTTTGAATCCTGGCCTGAGGTCTTTCTTCATGTTCTCCCTGAGCATGCTGTTAAGCTAACATGACTACGTATTAGCTCAATGAGTTTCCAAATTGTCCGTGTGTAGTTGTGTGCATGTGTAGTTGTTAGTTCTGTGTGTCTCTGTGTTGCCCTGTTATGAACCTAATGACTGCTGGAGACAGACACCAGCGAAGATAAGCAGGTATGGACAATCAGTGGATGGGATAGACAAATTAGGGGACAAAAAACACAGACTATAATTGCAACCATACAGAGTGCACAATCTTCGCAGTGGTTCAACATTTAATATCTTGAGGCAGAAAGGTGTGTTAGCTGCCTCTTGGTTCTGCTTTTGATGTTGTGGTGTCATTTGCATAATGGCAGCAGTTCAAAAGTTCATGGAGAGAGTGTGAGGAATCTCTGCTTATGTTTCAGAGCCTGTTCCTGCAGGAGCTGTGATGGAGATCCTGTAAACTGTAGAGACACTTCAACGACCCTTCTCTTCCAGCTTCCTTCAACATCCTCTGCCCCGCTGGTATGCTACTGAGATGCAGTACCCCCCTCTCATGCTGAGAGGGGCGTGTCCAGTCATGGTTTCTAAACACTGGTGTTCTTCTCTCTTTGGTCTCTTTAAGGATCTGACAGTTGTCTGTGCATCACTAGGGTTCTGATAAGATGAGGTCAAATTGGAACTTTGTGGGCTACAAGCAAAATGCTCGTAAGTGGGAAAAATAAGTATGCATCTCTCTGAACATGCCATTCATTCCTATGTTGATATATCCTGGTGGCAGCATCATCCTGTGGTGATGCTTTCCTGAGTAGAGATGTGGAAGCTGACCTGAGTTGGAAGACGGATAGAGGGAAAACTTGAAAAAAAAACATGACTTACAGGATGACAAGCTGAAACACACAGTCAGATGCAAATGGTTGCACACATGGGCTTTCACATTATTTTATTTCAAAGTTGCTCATATTATATGCATTTTGCATAACTTACATAACTTCTCTGACCTTTTTTAAACATGTAAAACACCATAAAGAACAGAAAGAGAGAAATAATTTTTCAAAAATTTTATTTTTCTGGGGAGACAGATTGTGTTTGCCTATTTATAACAGATTAAAAAGATATGTTTTACTCCCTCAAATGTTGATTCCTCCTCCTATCTTCAGCAGTTGTTTCACAACTTTAAGGCTTATAGATAATGACTTGAAGGCATTTTTTTTTTTGACAGAAGCTTGAATGAAACAAGGTTGAGATTCTGTGGGACTTTGTTTTCACAGATCTGCTGAGAATATCTTTAGCGATGGCACACAGCGAGGTGAGATGATGGACAGATTAGAAAGCAACCAGACAGATCCACAGAGACTGCTGTGCTGCTGTTCCTCTTCTGTGTGATGAAGGGTGTGAATGGATGCAGAGTCGTGTGAATGAGCTTTCATCTTGTTCTCCCTTACACACACACCCACACACACACACCAATGATCCACCAAGGGACTGTTCTATACTCACTTTTCTTTTCCTTTCCTTTCCTTTCCTTTCCTTTCCTTTCCTTTCCTTTCCTTTCCTTTCCTTTCCTTTCCTTTCCTTTCCTTTCCTTTCCTTTCCTTTCCCAGACTGGGTGAATCCCTGCTCAAGCAGAAGAAATCGTGCCGCAGGATCCTATATTTAGTCTCTGGTTTGATCAGAAGAGTCGCTCCGCTCCACTCTGCAGCTCTCAGCTCCACTCAGTCAATTACAGATTTGGATACATGTATTGTTTCTTGTTTTCTCCCTCATCTGACAGCGGCGGAGAGCGTGCTGGCTTCCACTTTCTCTGATATCTTTCACACATGGTGATTTTGGTTTTGCGGTGAGTTTTGAACAACAAGCTGAACATGCTCGAGTGAGCTTTTTTTTTTTTTTTCTTTTTCCCCTTCACTGGTTTATATCTGATCGTCCTGCAATCATTGGCCGAGATGGTTTCAGCTGCATCGCTGAAACTCTAAATTATCAAACCTCAAAGCATAACAGTACAATGCTTTAAAAATACTTCCAACCACATTGCTTGGAATAGAGTTTGGCTAGTTTTCATTGTGCTCCTTTAAAAAGATTTATGGTAGTAAAATTTTTCGGTCTGAGTCTGCAGGTCTTTGCCTGTTCAGTATGTTGAGCTACACATCAGTCATTCACACAATGTCAGGTAAAAATGAAGCAAAATGCACAATTAAGGAATGAAAACAAGTTAGTTTTTGCATGCTGGGAAGCAAACTGAATATAAAACAACAAACCCCAGGATGCCAAGACAAGAGTCAGTAATTTATAAGGCATATCTATGGTAAGACAAAACAAAACAAACTGCAAAGGCAAGTAAGAATAAATCTGAACGAGCAGACCGATCACAACAACATTCAAGGTGCTGTTTACAGCAATACCCACTGCCTCAAGACAGAAGAGAAAGTAAACAAAGACAATCATTTGAAAGATGAAAAAGATGTGATCATATCTGACATTACAATGTTGGCAGAGATCCTGATCTGAAGGAATTGTTGGTCTCAGACTCCAGGAGATGTGACTAAAACAGCTAATTTGGGCTTTGATTAGTCAGTTTGAGTTTTAAAACTGCTGTGGTTCAAAAAGTCATGCAAAGGTCCACGAGCGAAACACACCAGCTGTGATCCTAATCATGTCATTTTGAATTAGCAGATCTGAAAAAGGTGAACAACCTCTTATAAAATCGATGTCGTCAATCAGTGCCTTGCAGCTGTATTTGCATTTTTGTGAAAGTTAAAACATGTTTTATCGCAATTTTAAGCGACAGACTGGCACAAAATAGTGCATCATTTGTATTCAGCTCACCTTTGTCTATCTTTTGTAGAGTAACTTTTTTCCCCAAGTCTCTTCAAAGCTTTGCACATCTTGATGCTGGAACTTTTCGCTATTCTTTCTTGGATAAATAGCTCAAGCTGACTGGACTGAGAGTCTCTGTGAACATCAAGTCTTACCACAAACACTCAATTACATTTGAGTCTAAACTTTTGGTTGGACCATCTTAACACACAAATATGCTTTGAACTTTTGGTTCTGGCTGTACGCTTCAGTTATCTTGATAGATTTTTGCTTAAAAAGATTTTCTTCCAGGGTTGCCCTGCCTGCATCAACTTTCCTGTTCATGCTCAAGACAAAAGCACCCTGTCACACCCAGGGTGATATGGAGGATTAGTTTTCCGTCAGTCACGGTGCTTTGCATGTAGGCCAGAAAGGTTGATTTTCGTTCTTCTTCCAAATGTTTGCTTAGTCCGCTCCAAAGTTTGTCGCAAACAGCAACTTCAAGCAATGTTTTTTCTTGCCACTCATCCGGACAGGTCAGATTTGTGGGATGCACCACTAATATTTGTCCTTTTTAACACATGTTCCAGATAACCTGTTCATCTCTGCAGTTGATTGCTGCCTGACAAAATGTGTAAAAGTTCAAGAGTGCAATCTGTTCAGGTGATAAAGTTACATGGCCTTATTTGACATATTTAGCATCTAGAAATATTTATCTGAATACATTTTATGACTGTCATTTCTACCTTTTGCCTGGGATTGCTTTGCAGTGTACAGCTGTTGCCAACAATGCTGAGTTTGCAGTCTTTCCTGCACAGTGTTAGCCTTTTGAATCAGGCTTCCCACCATCTGGAAGGAAGTACATGTGCATCTGCTTTTATAGAACAGCCAAGGGGAACATCCTCTCACTGAAGAGACTTGTCACGGGCCAAGGACTCCCATCGCAGGCTGGCAAAGCAAGCCAAGAAGCTTTGAGATGTGTGCTTCCAACACACATTTTTATTAGAAAAAGAAAACACATAAAAGAGATACAATTGTTGTATTTGACCCTCCTAATATGTACTTGTCTTCCTCATACGCGTAGATTGATCTATGCATATCTGTGCATTTCTCTGTTTTGTACACATGCAGACAGACGTGCGCGCACACACACTCACACATGAACAAAAGAAAAAAAAATACCACTCAACATTACTGTCACAGGATATGAAAGTCTCAACTGTTGACTGGAATTATATCACATATTAAATCTCATCTGAATCTTTAGATGAGAAGGAAACAAACTTGCACATCTAAAAGTGTTAATTGTTTTTAATATGAATTACTGATTTTAGTGCCAGAGGGGGAAAAAAAAAGACTAATTATGTTTGCTTCAGAAATCAGTTTATTATGAAAAAAATTCCAAGTCTTCCACATATGCATCTTTGCATATCTAATAATAGAGTGCATATCATTCACCATGACCTACTTATAGTAATTATATCATGAAGATGTATAGTATAGAGACAATATCCTCAGAGGGGCTTTAATTCCCACCA